AATATGTAAATCACAATTTTAAAATAAAAGCTTAAACCAAACAAGCCCTAAACAATCACTAAACCAAAACAAAGAGAATTCCTAAATTCCTAATCTTGCACAAATCAAAGAGCTTACTCTTTCTCTCCCTTTAAAGTCTAACCCTATTTCCTCAAAAAATTTTCAACTATTCAATCTTTCTATCCCTAATTTTTCTTGTTTAATATTAACCCGTAACAATTCCCGGGTTCGCCCTTGATTGGCAAGTTATATTCAATCACAAAACCATGATGTCCACATTCGCTGGTTTGCGAGAATAAGTCAGATGTTAAACGTGTCATTATGAACAAGACTCTACTTAATACCCAAGTAAAAAAAATAAAAAATAATAAAAAAAAAACGTTGTTGTAATATTTTTCTTTTCCTTCCTACCTACCCCTTTATAAAAAGCTTCTTTAACCAGACTTTTGGACACAAGACTTTACCCAAAACCAAATTAAGTTGAAGTTTTCAACAGAAAGGAACGGGACGGACTGTGGGGGTACTGACCTAGTTTCCATGTGGCTTCCTAAAACGGACTCAAAGGCTCCAAGCATATATAAATATAAGGTCAACGCTCATCATCCTATATATATATATATATATATAAGCCTCTTCCTGTGTGATCTTGGATAACAAAAAAACTGAAAAAGCTTGCTAGCAAACATGGCTTCTTCTTATTCTTCTAATTCTTTGCTTTTGGTTATATATGCAATAATAGTGTTGGCATCTCAGTTCTTTTATGTATCAGAGGCTGATCATACCTCTGCACCTGTGGTGAAGGGACTCTCGTGGAATTTTCACCATTCAAGCTGTCCTAAAGTGGAAACCATTGTGAGAAAACACCTCAGGAAGGTCTTCAAGGAGGATGTTGGATTAGCTGCTGGTTTGCTTCGCCTCCACTTCCATGACTGCTTTGTTCAGGTATTTCTCGATCAATTGTTTGCACTTTCCCCTTTTTGAAATGTTTGTACCTATTACACAATCTTTTGCTTGTAACTACGTACCTGGGGTTGGCCCAGTGAAAAAGGCTTTGGTTTTGGAATTTCATCAAGTTTCAAGTCTCAAAGTTAAATTTTTTTTAGATGCGAGTAAACGGATATAATCCGAACCTTATCTGATTTATGTGGGGATCACTTTACACATGTTTGTGAATTAGTGGAGGCAAAAATCGGAACACCTTAGGTTATAAAAAAAAACGAATTTCTAACTGCATGAAAAAAGCTGACCAATAAGTAGCAGTCTACCGATACCAGACTCCCACTTTTAAAAGAGAGATTAGGCTAGATCGAGCATATATTTGAATACCAACTAAATACAGAGAAAAAGAGGACCACGTGTTTTCTGGCATTTCATTCGGACAGTGGTCCCAAAAGGAGTGGTTGTAGGTGCTGGATCCGTGCAACCGACCTAATAGTACAAATTTAGAATAAATTATTGTGTACCCCAATTGAATAGTATGTTATTGTGAAAAAAGAAAAGGAAAAAAAAAAATATTATGTTATTTAATGGATTTTTTTATTTGGAATTCAAGCATACTGTTTTATTAAGGTTCGAATTTCTAATCTCTTTATAAGAAATAAGAGCATTGTATCGTTAAGCGGCCTTTTGATCTGTTATTTAATGGATTAACCATCAATTTTTTTTTTTTAGAAACTTCAATCTTTGAGGAGAAAGTCATAGACAAAAGAATTATTAAAACCATTTGTCAAAAGGATTTGGTATTTGTCATGTGATGTGCACTATGTATTTATTGTAAAGGGTTTATCAGAGGTGTTTTGACTTGATATATATAAACACGACTTGTTGTGTATATGATGATGGATGATGATATGCAGGGATGCGATGGTTCTGTTTTGCTTGATATATATAAACACGACTTGTTGTGTATATGATGATGATATGCAGGGATGCGATGGTTCTGTTCTGCTTGATGGGTCCGCTAGTGGGCCTAGTGAGAAAGAGGCGCCTCCGAACTTGAGTTTGAGGGCTGAGGCATTTAGGGTCATCGAGGACCTCCGTGACCTTGTGCAGAAGGAGTGCGGAAGAGTAGTCTCCTGCGCTGATATCACTGCCCTTGCTGCCCGTGATGCTGTTTACTTGGTAAAGTTAGCTAAATTTATTCATTTTTATTAACATTTTTTTTGGAATATTATATTAGCACTGTACTTTTTTATGTTTGCACTTTGTTCTTAACATAAATGACAATTTTAGTCCTAATTTTACAGTTGTCCTTTTAGATTTGCTTTCTTTGTTGCAGATCTTTATTATTTTATGTTTCTTTTGGCAAGACAAGAAAAAAAAGTTATCCCTTTTGAAGATTTTTTTTTTTTTTTGCAGGACCAAAAAATAAATAAATTACACATTAAAAAAAATTATCCCTTTTAACGAAAAAAAATCCAAAAATATCTTTATTAAAGAAATGAACTCTTTTATCAAGATTAAAAAAAAATTACAAGAAATTTATCTGTTTTAAATAATTTATCTGTTTTAAATAAAATAAAATAAAAATTATTCTATTGAATAAATTATCTCTTTTGACGGAACAATAAAAAATTACCACTTTTAGTAAGACTGAATTTTTTTTTTTGTTAGAAATAGTTAACTTTGTTGAATAAATTATATGTTTTAATTGAAAAAAAAAAGTCACTATTGAATAAATTATTTTTGTTAACTGTCAAAAAAAAAATTTATTTTTATTAAATAAATTATCTTTTTTGAGAGATCTTTTTACTATTTTCTTTAAAAGAAAAAAAAAAAAAAGTTAAGTAAATGCAACAGAAGAAAACAGACCTTTTAATTCTTGCTAAACCTCCATCTTAAGAAGTACACTAACATTTTGTTGTACGTGGCTGCAGTCCCAGGGACCTTACTATGATGTTCCGTTGGGAAGGCGGGACGGCCTCAACTTTGCAACAAGAAATGCCACACTAGCCAATCTCCCCCCACCAAGCAGCAACACCAGTGCCCTCCTCACCTTTCTTGCTACCAAGAAATTGGACGCTACAGATGTCGTAGCGCTCTCCGGTGGCCACACCATCGGACTCAGCCACTGCACCTCTTTCACTGATAGACTCTACCCGAACCAAGACCCAACCATGGACGACTCCTTAGCTGAGGACCTCAAAGGCATTTGTCCCACTGCGAATACCACCGCCACCACTGTGATGGACATCCGAACTCCAAACAAATTCGACAACAAGTACTACATTGGACTCGTGAACCGGCAAGGCCTCTTCACGTCCGACCAAGACTTGTACATGGACAGTAGGACTCGCGACATTGTCACCAGCTTCGCTGATGATCAGACTCTTTTCTTCGACCAGTTTGCGCTTTCCATGATAAAGATGGGGCAGCTGAGTGTGTTGACTGGCAGAAAAGGAGAAGTTCGTGCAAATTGCTCCGTCAGGAATTCCGATAATCATTCATATCTCACGTATATGGTGGAAGATGATGAGGAATCTAAGTCAGAGCTTCGGTAAGGAATTCGGAGAAGATGACGACGAATATAGGTCGATTGGAGCTTTAAGGGTAGTTGCAGTGTTTGAATTGTGGACATGTTTATGTTTGTTTTTCATTGCTTGTTAGGTGTGGAACTTTGTTATAAGGTGCTGATTAAGTTGTAAAAATAAATGTGGTTGACTTATTAAAGCACTACACTTTCCAATATAGATCGTAATCCACCGCCAGGAAAAAGGCTTTTAGTTATCGTAATCCATTGCCAGGAAAGAGGTGACGGAATATTTTTACTATGAAAATAAATTCTTAAGACATTTTCGGCGGTTCTTTAAAAAATATTTTGTATAAAATATACACAACTACATGTGATTTATAAATTTTTTTTATCTCCAATAGTCTGTTAAGATACACTATCACATCACCAATGTATAAAAAGGTTGTGTATTTTACACAATTTTTTTACACAGTCACGTAAATATATTTTCTCTCTCCTCCCCCTTTTCTAATCGCGGTTCTCTTTCTTCTCTCTCATTCCTTTACGCCTCTTTGTTTCCCACTTTTAGAGCATCATAGATAAGAATCTTCAACCCGTGGCAAGGTAAGAAACCATCTTTTATTTTTCATTTTTCTTTGTTAATAAAAGTAGTTTGATTAATTACTTTCGTTTCATCTTATCTTTTGTAATCATCGCCATAGATTATAGGGGTCTTTTTTTAGATTTTTTATCTTTTTACATTCTATTCTAATAAGATAAATATGTACTAACAAAAGATTTGATATATATTTTAATCATGATTTTATATAATTGTTGTTTGATACAGTTATACAAATTAAATTTTTTCTTTTTCTTTTTTGTTGATTAGTCAATTCAATCGCAATTGTTTTTGCATATTTTTTGTTTCTGTAGAAAGTAAAATATAAGGGGAAATTATTAGTTTTTTCCTAATTGAGGGAGGATTGGGACGTGAAATTTAATCGCGAAAAAGTAAATAAATCAAGCAAGTTTGTAAAAGTTATATAGGGCGTTGGGTATGACACGTAGTTTAATTGGTTGTTAGTGGGGGATATTTTTTTTACACAAAAGGTATAAAATAACCGTTAGAACTAAAAATAGGTTGTACAAAATTTTTGTGTAAATCTATTCTGACACATCAGATTTACACAAAATTATATACACAACGGTTGGAGGTGCTCTTAGTAAATAATAGGATATTTACTACGGAAATAATTTCATATTAAATTCTCTTTTATTAGGTTTGGAATTTTGGCTTCCTCGTAAATTATCTTGGATTTACTATAAATTTGAATTCGTAATAAATTACCTAGTATTTATCACGAAAAGTTTTATAGTAAATTCCGTTGTATTTACTACGAAGTTTGGTTTCGCAACAAATAAATATTGTGACGACCCTAAAACTCATAATTCGGTTCATTACTGAAATGGTCTAAATTGCCAACTCAATAACGAGTCAAAGTGCGGAAGCTAAGGTCAAAATGGCAAAAATACTGAGGTTAAGGGTAAAATGGTCATTGTCCAAAGTAGATCGTCATACACCATCGGACTCAGCCATTGCACCTCTTTCACTGATAGGCTCTACCCCAACCAAGACCCAACCATGGACGACTCCTTAGCTGAGGACCTCAAAGGCATTTGTCCCACTGCGAATACCACCGCCACCACTATGATGGACATCCGAACTCCAAACAAATTCGCCAACAAGTACTACATTGGACTCGTGAACCGACAAGGCCTCTTCACGTCCGACCAAGACTTGTACATGGACAGTAGGACTCGCGACATTGTCACCAGCTTCGCTGATGATCAGACCCTTTTCTTCGACCAGTTTGCGCTTTCCATGATAAAGATGGGGCAGTTGAGTGTGTTGACTGGCAGAAAAGGAGAAGTTCGTGCAAATTGCTCCATTAGGAATTCCGATAATCATTCATATCTCACGTATATGGTGGAAGATGATGAGGAATCTAAGTCAGAGCTTCGGTAAGGAATTCGGAGAAGATGATGAGGAATCTAGGTCGATCGGAGCTTTTAAGGGGTAGTTGTAGTGTTTGAATTGTGGACATGTTTGTGTTTGTTTTTCATTGCTTGTTAGATGTGGAACTTTGTTATAAGTTGCTGATTAAGTTGTAAAAATAAATGTGGTGGACTTATTAAGACACTATACTTTCCAATATAGTTCGTAATCCACTGCCAGGAAAGAGGCTTTTAGCTACGGAATATTTTTACTACGAAAACAATTTCTTAGTAAATAATAGTATATTTACTACGGAATTAATTTCATAGTAAATTCTATTTTATTAGGTTTGGAATTTTGGCTTCCTAGTAAATTATCTTGGATTTACTTCGAATTTGAAATCGTAATAAATTATCTAGTATTTATCACGAAAAGTTTTATAGTAAATTTTGTTGTATTTACTACGAAGTTTGGTTTCACATCAAATAAATATTGTGATGACCCTAAAACTCATAATTCGGTACATTATTGAAATGGTCCAAATTGCCAACTCGATACCGAGTTCAAAGTGCGGAGGCTATGGTTAAAATGACAAAACTGCCAAGGTCAAGGGTAAAATGGTCATTGTTCAAAGTAGATCGTCATACGTAGTCACCTAAACATGAATACATCCATAAAATGAATTACCAACTACCTTAGGGCAAGAAAGAGTGCCCAAAAATAAGCAACAAGGGAAGAACAGAAAAAGGGGAAAGTGTCAGTCATCGGTCGACGTGAAAGGCTCACACGATGACCAGTTAGGCCAACTCGGTCGACATGAAACCACTTTGAGTCGATCGAAAACTGTTGCGTCCCAAATAACACACTATGCTACAATAAAAAAGGAGATATCGGTCGACGTGTATGTGCTAAACGTCTATCGGAACTCTGCTGTTGTCATTAGAATGGTCTAAAAATCTATAAAATGGCCTTGATCATCTATGGATCATTTTAAACATCCAAATAAGCCTAAATATGGGATATAAGCTATCCTTAAGTTGGTGCATGGCATGGCAAGGCGAAATCCAAGATTTAAAGTGTGTGAAGCATACATAAATATGCATTAAACTTCGAAAATACATTCATTGCATAAGTTGGCTCAAGGCCTCATTACATCATTTGAAATATCATCAAAAGATGCGGGAAGAATTAATTAAGGAAACAAGTCAAGCTTGTGAAGCATACATAAATGTGCATTAAACTTCGAAAATACATTCATTGCATAAGTTGGCTCAAGGCCTCATTACATTATTTGAAATATCATCAAAAGATGCGGGAAGAATTAATTAAGGAAACAAGTCAAGCTTTTTTTTTTTTTTTTTTTTTTTTTTCTCTCCTCTCCACGTTATCCAATCAGCCTATTTCTCTCTCTTAATTTGAACACAAAATTTTTAAGATGAGGCTATTCTAAAGCTCAAAAACATGAAGAAAAAAAACAGAGAAAAAAAAAATCAAAACATAATTAAACAACACGTAAAATTTTTGTAATGAGGTTATTCGAAAGCTCAAAAATGCTAACAAAAAAAAAATAAAAAAATAAAAAAAATAATAATAATAATCTCAAATAGAATGACATAGTGTCACGAACATGATAGATGAAGTCTAATGATAAGCGCCGAATATTGCATATTCAAGTGCCCTTTCTTGCACTAGTTAAGTCCATGAATGGAGTATAATGTACAGTTTAATTCCATTTGTGTATGTATTTCTGATTTCAGGTATTCTGCCCGAGAATGATCAATGAAGCGGTTTTGACATCATTTGTGTTGAAACATGTGCGCCGTTCGGGGAGTCATTTTGGATCAAGTCCCTTCTGTTGCCGTTATTGCGCCCCTCATGGTGGAGCTCGCATCAACGCTCCGGCTCGGAAAGGCTTGCAAATAAAGCCTGGTTTGAAATGCAGCTGCAGGCCCCCGTGGACGCCCGCCGTGCCATCGCGGGCCCCCGCCATTTTCCCATGCTCTCTGCCTCATTTGGCAGGGCCTCTCAAAGCCTCCGCGAAGGCTCCCACAAGCCCCCGCGGGCGCCTGCTGAACCACTGCGGGCGCCCGCCAAATGCTCCAGTAGCCTCCCTCGCCAAGTCAAGGACCCGCGGGCGCCCGCCGGCGTACCGTGGGCCCCCGCCGATCTGCAGACAGCTCTGCATTCCTACTTCCAATGCTATCCCTTTGACTTATTTTTGTGGCTTTAATCCTCCTAGGGTTGGTAGGGCACAAAAATGGGGGGAAATGGAGAGGCCAAGAAGATATATGAGAGGCTTGAAGCGTAGAGAATCTTATCTTATCTTTGCAAGATTTCTAGAGAGAGAAAAATTGAGTTTTGAAGGACTTGGTGGGTCTTGAAGCTTGGAGCTTGAAAATGGAGGGGGAGGGCAGGCTTCTTCCTTCTTCTAGGGCATCCATGGGTAACTAACTCTTCCTCTAGGGAGGTGATGAAGCCCTCCCCTTGTAAGCATGTTCTAGTGTAAATTCTATTTTGGGAGAACAATGTATAATTTTTGGTCATTTCATGATCTAGAGCATCATATGTGATTGTAATGAATTTCAATGCCTATACATGATTATTTTGAGTTATTCATCTTGTCTTAGATGGTTTCTTTTCCTAATCATATTGCTTGCACTTTCAAAGTGACAATGAAAGTTAGATCATGGAATGGATTTAATGGCATGGAGTTGGAGAACCTAGATAGTCCATTGCTTAGGGTGCCCTCTGATGGTCTATACTTGATTCTTAGCTTTGTGTGCTTCCATCATTTAATTAAAGGCTTGATAATCTTTGGCTTAGTAAACATGTTGAAGGCTACACCGTAATTTAAGTAGTTCAAGCATGTAAAGCTTTGATGGATTATTCTTGTGTTTGATTTAATGAATCTCTTGAGGATATCATAGCAACCAAGGGTTGTTATGTATCATAACCACCATTTATGTTGATTTTCCCAATTTAGTCCTAATCTAGCATGTGCATAAGGTTGGAGCGGATTCACTTCCCTAGTCCTCTTTACTTGTATTTCATCTCATTTAAATTCTTGCAAGCTTTTATTTTATGCATATTGATTTCATAAGCTTAAGTGACAACCAATAAATCCTCTATGAACACCCGTATCATTCTAAAAAGACTCTAGACACTTAGGTTGCCATAGATTAGCGCAGTCCTAGTGGTTCGACTTACCCGACCAATAGCCCTATTTTACAATGATTCGTGCTATTGCGAAGGTTGATTTATTATAGATCGAATTCTCAACCGATCAATTTTTGGCGCCGTTGCCGGGGACTTGCACACGGTTGAGCAACCGAAGTTTTGGGGTTAATTTTAGTTTGATTGTTAATATTGTGATTTGTGAATATTTCTTGTGCGGTTTTAACCATCTTATGTTTTAAAGTGTTTGTGAGATTCTAGGGACTCAAGGCTCACCGGAAGCACACTAGCGAATCTGTAAGTCTAGAGGACTTCAGGTAAGCCTCTTGACCTTCGTTTCGAATTTGTAATATATCATGCATATGTTAAATTTAGTGATAGTTAAATTGTGAGCCCTTGTCGAGGCTATTTTATTGTATATTTTCAACTGCAAGCATCAGTCCTTGTCGTGGCCAATTTTATTTCTGTCTTGATAATTGAGAAGATAGGGAACATCGTATGTGGAGTTGTAGAAGATGAATTGTTGTGATGATTGTGTTGCGAATTGTTGATATTCGGCCGTAGATCACTTTCCCTACCCACAATTGACTCGCCAATTGATATAAATTCACTTGAAAGAACTCTTAGACGAAACCTTAGGGAATCCTCTCATATAAGAGAACTTGAAACTGAATTTAACACCATGGCGAATAATGAAGAAAATCTGGGAAATTAAGGGGTCAATAATGATAGGGCCGAAATTTCAAATGTAGAACCAATGACTTTCAGAGACCATTTCATCCCTACCACCTATGCTTCACCTTCATACATAGTGATGCCAAACATCGATGCGGCTCAATATGAGATCAAATCAAGTACCATTCAAATGCTTCCATCATTCCATAGCCTTGATAATGAAGATCCGTATAAGCATCTTAATGAATTCCTTGAAATCTGTTCGACCATCCGGTTGAGAGGTTTCCCTGAGAATGCACTCCATCTACATCTTTTCCCATTTTCTTTAAAAGACAGGGCAAAGTATTGGTTGAACTCACTCACTCCAAATTTCATCACTTCTTGGGCTCAATTACAGTAAGAATTCCTTAAGAAGTATTATCCGGTGAGTAAAACCAACCAAATGAGGCGTTCCATTCTTAACTTTTCTCAAATGGATGGAGAACAACTCCACGAAACTTGGGAAAGGCTACAAGATCTTCTTAGAAAATGTCTGCATCATTTGATTCCAAAATGGCAATTAGTGCAAGCTTTCTATGCTGGCTTGACCGAACCCCATAGATTCATGGTTGACTCTTCTTGTGGTGGGATGTTCATGTCCAAGAATGCAGATGAGGCTTGGACCCTACTAGAGAATTTAAACGAAAATTCACTTCAACATAATTCTCGTAGGGCCCCGACCTCAACCAATGCAAAGAACACCAACCCTTGTCAACCAAAGTCAATAAGGGAGGAATCATCTCAAGTGGATGCCATAGCTCATAAATTCTATCAATTGATGGCACCACATCTCTCTCCTTCATTATCTCAAAATTCGGCAAGTTCGGTATGCTCATCATGTACTAGTCCATTCCATCTCATGGAAGATTACCCCACACCGGAGCAATTTCCCAATTCAAATCAAGAGCAAGCGAATGCCATGTTCTCAAGGCCCGGGAATAATCCATATTCCAACACTTATAATCCGGGTTGGAGAGATCATCCGAATTTTTCGTGGCGGCAATAAGCCCCACAAAATTCCCAATTCCAAAATCAAGGGCATCAAAATCAGTCCCCTCCTCAATTTCAAAATAGGCAATTTCCAGCCTCTTCAAGCTACCGTCCTCCGTATAATCCAAATGTCTGTAATCAACCTCCGGTGTACCCAACTGA